AACCGCAAAAATCTCGAGAGCAGAAGAAAAGCCCCTGCATTCAACCGTGCAGAAATACGCACCGCCCGGAATCCACCTATCGCAAAACTGTGCGGTGTGTTTCGTGCACAGATTGAGCATACTGTGCTAAAGAACTTGGACTATGTAGACGGCGGAAGTAGGTCTGCCGCGGCTGCGCCGATGGCTGTTTGTTCGGAGCGCGATTGTTTCTCTATTTTTGTTGTTCCACATTCAATCCCTGTAACCCTTTATTTCTCTTCTTGTTCTCTATATGACCTCTTCAGAGTGCTCATTATTCGATAATGTGATAAGCACTGCTGCCGCTGTCGTCTTTGTATATCAAGTGGATTTTACTGGCTTTCATTAGCAACTTGACCAGTCGTCCTTGATCTTTGCTTCAATATCTGATAAGTATTCTTGAATGTTTGCAATGTAGAAAGCGATTTATAACAGAAATGCCATGATCAATTGCTCTTTCTAAATTTGAAAAAGAAACTTGGTTTTGTTTTTGAATCTGTAGAAAAAAGAAGGTACCATCTCAAAGCGACCTCGTGAATGTTTCTAAACGTTTCTGGATTATCTTATTTGAAGATGTTTAAGCCCTATCATTCACTGATCCGACAAAGGACATTTCAGAATTTAATTTTTCTATTGAAATGAGACATGTTTGTCAGTATACTTTTCTTCTTACTCGTGAGTAGTTGATTGAAGGATTCAAGTACCAAACGAGGTTTTTCTGTGTTTTCGATTTGAGTTATTTTTTCAAATTTCCTGAATCGAGGCATTCTTCTATATGTTTGTTTCTTTTTGCTGAGCCTTTCTGAGTGCATTGAAAAATGGGAATGCCGGTCACCAATTTTACTCAGCAGATCATTGTTAATATTCATCATTTATTTCTCATGTATACCTAATTCAGAGCGGCTCTTCGAAAAATCCAAGTTACGCCTACATCGGAAGAAATTGAAAACATTTGATTTGCCCTTTTCACGCTTTCCTTATTATTTCCGATGAGCGAAGGACAGTAAGAAAGTTGTTATTCTTTAATCAGAAAAATTACATATGCTACTTCTATGCTAGTAACTTTCACGAATGTTTTACGAAAAACAAGATCATTTGCACAATGTTAAACGACAGTGAAGACTGAATAAGATTGGGCTTTGTTAACCACATAAAGTAAACCCTCGAGTGTAATGAATGGAGCAGTAGAGAGCTTAGACAAATGAATCATAAATAAGCTATCCTATCTGAACCATTTGGTTTCTGAAATGGATCGGGAACAACAGGGAGACTTGTGAGAAACGAAGGAATTATGTACTTTCTAGTATATGTGCAAAAATGTTCATTAGTTTGTCAATGAGATCATTAACTTCCTGTACTTTTGCAGAGTTTGTTCGTTAAGAAACTTCAGTTCAAAAGAGCCTGAACCACTGACTTTGGTGAATCATAACGTGACAGTACTTCACAATATTTGCCGCGCTCTATTACAATATAAAATTTCGTAGCAGCTCTTGACAGTGACGGCGAGGTCATCCTCTGATAAAGTTATAGAGTATTCTTAGTTATGAATCATCACAGTCTGATGTAGCGCCCATGTCAAATTTCTTCGTCTTTGTTATAGCGATAACACTCTCAGTGCCAACTGTCTGCTGTACTTGAAGTCGTGTGGCTGTTATTTCTATGCACTTCGTAGCATACTTTCACATACGCTGTTTCAGGAGATAATGAGCTGTCGAAGCCCGTCAGATGAAGAGACCTATTTTGCTAAGCCAGCGCATCTTTTCCCATCCCTTGAAGATGGGAAAATCCCCACTGAACAGTTCCTGAGTGCATGCCAAGGAATCGCTGATTTCGTCGGTGAGCAAGCTAGATGTTCAGCAACTCCAATTTTGTCTATGGGCAGAAATGTCGTCCGCATTGCTTGCACAGATAAAGCGCGTCGAAGTTTTGTTCCTCTTGCGATTGCATAACAATTTGTAACCGGTGTAGCCATGGAGCGTAGCAACTACATGTCATGGACCTATCTCTCACTTTTTGCAATGGTTCGGTTTCTGTACTGTGGGTTTCTCACATCAAGCAACTTTGCTGAGTGAGTGAGTTCCACACTTTTTCTTCTCTAAATCTGGAAATATGCAAAGAACTCACTCCCATAAGCAGTTTTTGAAAAGTTCTAATTAAATATCGCATTCGGTTTGTTTAATGAATTATTTTTAGTATGCACCAATTTTTGTTTTGCTTTTGTTATTAAATCCAGACAAAACAGAAGTAACTCGCAACAACAAGATGCAAATTGATATCGTTGCAAACGAAGACGGCAGTTTAGCTAAAAAGAAAATAATTAGGTAAAAAAGCTTTTATTTGAGTAGTGCCTGCAAGTGGTTATTTGATTGTCAAAAAATAAGACGGACAAACTGCTAAATTCATTAGACAGGACTGGACAATCAGAGAATGCGCGTCAATAAACATATTTATCCAAATAAGGAAAAAGAAAGCTTTACCTATCCGTGATTTAAATCAGCTCTTGAACACTATAGTCACATCAAAAAATTCAGCTTCTTCTGCTATGCGCAGGTGAATAGATGCTGAGTTGG